CCGTCCTTCGCTGCTCATCTTATTGTACTTGCTGGTGGAGGAGACAGTATCCATGGCAGAGAATCCGAAGCTAAATCCGATATGGAGCCTTTAGCGAGCCCCCAGTCCCGAAAAGGGGAGGATCAGCCCCAAGTCGAAAAGCACCAAGCCCTGAATCAAGGGCGCCCTGCTGTTGAGCCTTAGTGTTTTACATACATACATACATACATACATACATACATACATACATACATAATCATACATACATACATACATGCATACATAGATACATGTCCCAGACAGACAGGCAGGCAGGCAGGCAGACAGACAGATACATACATACGCAAATGCCGATACATCCATACATACATACATACATACATATATACATACGTGCATGCATGCATGCATGCATGCATGCATACATACATGGATACATACATACAAACATACATACTACACACACATACAGTACATAGAATACACATAATTATACATGTGCATATGCACCAGATGCAGACGCACGGAATGAAGAACCCGCTTCCAAAGTACGCAAGACAATGCAATGCAAGTTCGGCCGAGACATGAACGGCGCTCGCAAGGATCCACACGTCAATGCTGTCCAAGATTTGCAAAAGGAAAATGAAGCAAGAGCATCCCTGGGGCCCACTGAAAAAAAAAGAAGAGCATCAGCAGCATCTCGGGTAGGGGATAGCTCGAAAAATCATCGATTTCGCGAGCCCCGCCACACCCACGCTCAGGTTACACTTTGCGCAACTGGGGTTCACACAATGAGAAGCCAGTGCTTGGCTCGCCGATCGGTAGCTCATCAACCTGAGGCACCGAGGGTCGTGGACGACGCGAAGCTTGCCCCCGACACCGGACAGAAGCCCGTTCATTAAGGGAAGCTGGCTTCACTGGATGGACATTGCAAAGCTTCGGCCTCGATCTGCTGCACCCGCTGCGGCGCCGTGTTGAGCCTTACGGTGATTGGATCCAGGCCTGGGCGTCTCTGAATCTTGTACTGACCGTCAGCCGCTCACATCTGCACAAAGTAAGCGAAGCCTGCCAGCATCATGAACATCAGCCAGGCGAAACGGGGCCAGCATCATGAGCATCAGCCGGATGATGTTGCAAGAAGCAAGCGAAAACCAACCAGCATTATGAGCATCAGCCGGGCGATGTTGCTAGAGGCAAGCGAAAACCGGCCAGCATCATGAGCATCAGCCGGGCGATGTTGCAAGAGGCAAGCAAAAACCGACCAGCATCATGAGCATCAGCCGGGCGATGTTGCAAGAAGCCAGCAAAAACCGACCAGCATCATGAGCATCAGCCGGGCGATGTTGCAAGAAGCCAGCGAAAGCCGACCAGCATCATGAGCATCAGCGGGGCGATGTTGCAAGAAGCAAGCGAAACCCGGCCAGCATCATGAGCATCAGACGCTACCCGGCCAGCATCAGCAACGTGCCGTTCCAAGAAGCAGTCGCAACCCGGCCAGCATCATGAGCATCAGCCCCTTGCTGTTGCAAGACACGTGTGACACCCGGCACATCATCATGAGCATCTGCCGCTCGCTGTTGACAGAAGCAGGCAACACCCGGCACAGCATCCTCAGCAACAACCTCAGCCGCTCACTTCTGCAAAAAACAAGTGAAACCCGCCAGTATCATGAGCATCAGGCGCTCGCTGTTGCAACAAGCAAGCCAAAACCGGCCAGCATGATGAGCATCATCCGCACCCTCCCCCTCCAACACAACATCATGAGCATCAGCCTCAGCAGTCAGGACCATCCGCCACTCGTATCACGAGCACTTGTTGTGAGAAGGATGTTGGAGTCCTGAGGCTTGTGAGCTAACCTTCGAACTCCTGCCCTTACTCCTGAAGTCGAGCCACCGAACTACACAGATGTGTCTGGACGGTTGGCCGAAACCCATCCTCCGCTTAGAAGACTTCAAGTGCTGTCCTGTCTGCAGCGAAGATAGACAAAGGGGCTGTATGCTAGCCCGTTTCATAGGAATCTCGTAAGGAAGTCGGAAGTACAGTACCTGAACCGATCTGCCTTTTCTCTCTTACGGGAACCTCTAATGGAACGGAGGGAGGCTCAGCGGAGTTTGGCAGCACTTAACCTGAAACTGGGAAAGGACGGGCATTCTAACAGTTCAAGATCTCAAGCGACTCAAACGAACCGAGGCGTGCACCCACACCCAGGTAGTGGATGTAGCCTGGCTTGGCATCTCACGCCGGCTTGTGCAACCGAGGCGGCATGAATTTCACAAGAATGCGAAGAGCTGCTCTGTGTTGATGAATCTCTTTTCTTCGAGGCGTGATACTCAGCCAGTTTCGGCCCGTGCTGCACACCCGCACCACTTAACACCGCAACCACACCTCAAAGCACCTACACGGAACGATAAGTCCCAGCAGCAGGCCCCCTCATCGCAATTGATCTTAGAATGTGGGCTCTGCAGCCCAAGGAAGCACTCAGCCGCGGGCCAAATTGGTAGTTCAGGGGCAGGTCGTTGGCCACCCAGTCTGGGGCCGAGATGACCCTGGGCATTGCTTAACTTAGGACTCGGAAGCTGAAGGCGTCGCTGCAGACTGGGGGGGGGGCCTCTTCGTGTCCATGGTGGCGTTGAGCGGTGCCGAGATAAGGGTACCAGATCTGGGTGGCAGCCCCGCTGTCTGCAAGGAGACCTTGACATGTCTCTCAGGGCTTCGGGGATCTTCGGGTGCAGGACTGTTCTCCAGGGCTGAGAAATGCGACAGCTCCCCTGTCCATTTCCTCAAGCAACGACTCAATGGCAGGGGAAGGATTCGGCAGGGTGTCGCTGATGCATGCTGCACGGCATGCTGCTCATGAGCTTCCATAAAGCCTTTGCCAGACAATGTATGAGCATCTCCGTTCTGGGCGGCCGTGCATCGGAGAAGCCTTCCACCAGGCCGCCACCAACTGTCATCACAAGCCGCACCCTGAGTTCGCCGCTCTCCAGAAACTGTCCGCTTTCCTAACCTCCACGGTGAAACTATTTCGGACAGTTGGCAGCAAGGAGCCAGATCCGGTGCTGATCTGGCATTAAACCCACCCCTGCAAAACTGAGGCCGCGGGCTTGTAGATCGTGTCCTCTTGTAGCACATTCCCCTGATCATAACTGCGCCGTAGGTTCAGATGAAAGGCTTGAGACTGAAGTGTTGAAAAGGCTGCAATCAGTGCTCTCATTTGCAAGTATCGGACAACTGTAAACATCCACAAAGGTGCGGGTTGCATCGACACTTCGAATGAAGGCTTCAGGCTTGTTCTGCGCACGCTAAAGGCCCGCACTCGCCTTGATGATCATATTCGGAGAATCCGGCCTGGCACAGCACAAACATGCGCAATGCACACCTTCTTGGTCCAACGCGTGATGCTGGAGTTTTCGAAGGTACACTCAGCTTAGAATTTGAGATGCATACTCGAATGCTCCCCCTCCCACTCAACAGCGAGACAGGTCCAGACTCAGGCCGCCCCGATCGTCAAAACTCCACATTACAATCCTCTAAGCCCCAACCTCTCAGGGAGGCGCCTGGTAAAGAAGCGCGACGCATTCGTGACGTCGTACACATCTGTTTGGTCTATGTACACCATCCTAAGTCCGGCAGAGCTTTGGCGAGAAAAAACTCAAGGTTCTGCCAAACGCAGCTACTTGCTTTGAGGGGGCAAGCCCTGCTTCGCTCTCTGGAATCCGAGCCCCACACCTACAGCACCGTCTTGAACTTCCAGAGCCCAGATCCAAGAAGCCGGGTCCCGCGCTTGTCCACCAGGTACACCGTGGTCGGGTCATTATCCGACTCCGCTTCTCGCGCGAGGTCCCCGTCGTAGAGAGGGTTCGACGAGAAGACAAGTATCTCAGAAAACTAAGGCTGTTGCTGCAAGCCTACAAGCTGTGCCATTGACCACACAAACATTACAGTGTCGCAGGCTCCAGGGAATCTTTAATCTGATCTGAAATCCACGGCCCCTGAACATTGAAGCAAGATCTGCATCAAGGTTGACTAAACCCCGGAAGCCCAGGCTTCAGGGTCCCGCCCGCCACGAGAACTCGAGCTCCACAGTCGGATCTAGCTCGCTCTCGACGGTTCCCGAGATGCTGATCTGCGAAGCCAGGCCGGCGAGAGGTGGACAACCAAAACAAGGGCTCAGGGCACCAAGGGTGTGTGCTGCAGAACTTTCTGTTGAAGGTTCTGCATGGAAGGGATGCTAACTGCTAACACTTCAATCAGGCATGTTCAGGTGCCCGTGTGTCGAGAGCAATCATTCTTGCTTACATTACTAGCTGATGGCGGAAGCTGTCGATAAAAGAAGTCGAGTCTTGAACCGACCTCGAAACGCATTCTGCCCAACTGCAAAATGCATGAAAGGCTTCCACTTTGCTTTGGCCCCGGAACCAAACTCTGAACAGCTAAGCCTACGTCGGTGATTATTGTCACTCCCCACTTCTCTCTGACTCTCCCTCCGTCAGCACTCCCACCGGCCTCCCACACGCGAACTGGGGCCGAGGTCTGAAGGACTGCAGCTACATGATGAGGCCCCGTATTACAACTGCGATATCCCCCTCTCTACCACTGGAACGAGGTCGAACGGCCCCCCCCTCTCTCTCTCTCTCTCTCCCTCGCCTCGGTTGTGACCGGGAACTTTGGCATGGGGTTGTCGATAGCCAGCAGGATCTGTGGAACCACCCTGCGAGGTGGCACTTGCTTCAAGGCGCGGCCACGGTACGTAATAGTAATAGATGTAGGTTTTAGTAAGTAGTAACAAGCAGTCGTAGGCGGTAGTAAGTAGCAGGCCGTAGTAGTAGTCGTAGCAGTGGAATAGCACTGGTAGTCGTTGTGGTAGTGGCGTCGCAATAGCAGTAGCAGTAGCAGTAGCAGCACCAGCAGCAGCAGCAGTTGTTGTTGTTGTTGTTCTTGTTCTTGTTGTTGTTATTCGCTAAGCGAGGATGACTATCCGAGATATCGAGGACTTTCCCGCTGCGAGTCAATGAAATGTTGTTGTTATTGTTGTGCTACTAGTAGTAGTAGTAGTAGTAGTAGAAGAAGCAGAA